CAGCCCTGCGGCCACCGCCCGCGAGCTGACTCGGCCTGTGGAGTGCCTGCTGCTCTCAGTCTCGGCACCGGGCAGGGTGCCTGGGCGCTGAGCTCTTTACAACTTTTCTTTGCCGTTTGATGGAAGTTGTTGCTTCCGGGCGGCAGGTTCTTTGGGCATAGCCTGGTTTCCTGCGTTCTGGAGAGGCTGGTTTCTAGGGCGAAATGATTGATTGCTGCTGGTATTTCCTGCCATCCTAGTTTCGTTCCTCGCCACCTGAAATCGCGTTTTTATGGATTTGCAATGATATGGTTGCATTAATCTTTCCTAGGCCAAGATTTGAAAAGAAAAAAGCTGGGGGCGGGGGGGCGTTAGGGTGTGTGCTGGTGAGGAACAAGAGTTCTTAGTAGAGCTGAATTTGCCCTTACCTTTGAACTGCAGAAAATATTACCTCGATTCACTGGCTGGCGTTCTTTTGCAAGGGTTGGGGAAAAAAGACACAGCAAAATAGGTTGCCGGGGTCTGTCGGATTGCGGGGGGAAAGGGGTTTTGATGGAAATAAGGTTGGTTTTATAAAATGCTATGCTGCCTAGGAGATATCGTCTGTAAAGTTGATTCTGCTACTGAATTTATAGGCATTATAGTTAGTACCAACAGCTTTTACTATTGATAAAACTAGTATAAGACGTCTTTTCATCTTGAGTATTATCACTCTGCTTAACCTGTCAATACTTGCTGAGGAAATCAGAGATAGCACATTCCTTGTTAGAGGCCTTAGTGAAGAATGTTTTCATAAGCATTCATTTTTGACAGTTTCTCCTTGTGCAATACTTTGTCGAGTACTTGCATGTGCAAGTTACAACCGTATAAACAAAGTAGCAGTGGGTGTGTTATTCTCTGGTCTTTTTTCTGCTACTCATTATCAAAAATAGCATTCCATCGTGTCTTTTCTTACACTCTGAATTATTTTGTAAAATTAGTTCTCTAAAAGAGGGAATTTTGTTGAAACATGTGACCCAGTTTTTTTTTTTTTTTGATTAAAGCAATCCAACTTTTTAAAGTGTTCATCGATTAATTTGCTGTCTAGTAGCTTCCGAGTGGTGTGGAACATTGTAAATTCATAGGCTCAGCAGTAACAATAGAGAAACTACTTGGGAAGTTGAAGGCCAATATCAGATAATGTTTGAAAGAAAAATCTATTCTTCTCACAGAATTTAGGAAATGAAGACACACAAAAACAAATTCTTTGGGTTCAAGTGATCATCCTACCCCAGACTCTGTAGTAGCCGGGACTACAGGTGGGCACGACTGCGCCTAGCTAAAATTTTTATTTTTTGTAGAGATGGTGGTTTCACCTTTTAATTTTTTATTATAGACGGCTAGTCTCCAACTCTGGCCTCAAGCGATCCTTCTGCTTTGGCCTCTCAAACTGCTGGGATTACAGACTAATCCACCGTGCTTGGCCGTTTGTAGTAATCTTGATGGTATCTGGAATTGTTTCACCTAATATTCCTTCTTTTCTATTTTTTTCTTTGATCCATTTCTGTGATAAGGATATCAGGCAAGCAGCTAGGCATAATCTTCCTTCCCATCTCATAGTAAGTAGACGGTTAAACCAAGTTTTTTAAAGTCTGTTTTTGTTTACTTACTAATTTATTTAAACAATAAAAGAATTTCTCAACTTTTAAAAGAGCACATATAAATAAAACATTCAGAAATAATTATCTTTGAAATATCTAGACTGTATTTCCTGAAAAAGACTTTTTCCTCTTTTGTGCTTTCTACATTGTTTTAAACACATTGTTTTATATGAACACATTTCTTTTTTTTTTTTTAACAGGAGAAAAAGCATGCAAGTTTATTTCGTAAGTTTTATATGACGTAGGAGACTTCATGGGGAAAGGAAGACCCAAAGAAATGGTCAAATGTGCGTATTTTTATGCTAGGTTTGATGCAAAGTGGACAGTCATGGGAGAAGTATGATTGAACAAAGGAGATCTAATGGTCATAAACTGGGGGAAATTTAACAAGCCCTGTTTGTACAGATTCTTGTGTCATTGATATGAACACATTTCTTGAGTTATGAACTGTTTCTTGAGATCTTTGGGAGCTAGGATTATCCTCCATTTCTGTACAGATTCACTGCATCACCTCGGACCTTTTTAGTACCCAGTAAATGTGTTATTTTAGGTCTTTGTGACAGAAAAAAGTAATGTCCTGTAAAGGCCGCTTCAGTTATTTAATTTTTTAAATAAACACCTTTCGGAAGATTTTATACTAAAGGCCAACAATTGGCTTACTGTTGGGGGAAGATATGTCAATCTAGAGGTTCTTTGTTTTTTTTTTATAACAAAGAATTTTGTGAACAAAATTGTGATTTGTTTATAATATCTGTTCCACAGACATCTTTTGTGATGGTGAACACATTGTGACAATTATTCAGAACTTGGTTGTATCTGTCAATAACATCTGTTGAGTATACTTTCATTTAAACGGTACTATGTAAAGTAGAATACTCAATAACATCTGTTGAGTATACTTTTATTTAAACGGTACTATGTAAAGTAGAATACTCAATAACATCTTTTGAGTATACTTTTATTTAAACGATACTATGTAAAGTAGAATACTCAATAACATCTTTTGAGTATACTTTTATTTAAACGATACTATGTAAAGTAGAAACTGATGACAGAGTATTTCTGGAGATAAAGTATAACTGGATGACAGTCTTGCTCTCAATAGTTTTTTTTTTTTTTTTTAATTAGACCCAGAGCCAGCAAATCAGATGTATACAGTTTAGTGAGAAGGTGCAACATTAAGATTCTTAGGAAAAAGACAGTGGGTATGTCAGTGCAGTAACAAGTACAAAGTAACAGTGACACAGGATTCATGTAATTGAAATGATTGAAGTGGACAAGTTTTCATGGGTTTAGCAGATTTTAGAATATGTTTTTAAATACATTTTTTAATAAAGCAGTTTTGGGAGTAGACTGGGTTTATGTTCTCTACTAGAGCTATTTTTATGTATAAAATATTTTGGGGAGATACAGTATGTGCTCTGAATTTCAACTGTTGTTACATAGTGACAGGGATCATCCATCTGGCCCTGCTCAGATGTCACCTTGTCTGCAAGCTCTTCCTCTGTTCTCTTAATCCCAAGTGATTGTTCTTTGTTTTTACTCCTGTAAAATCCTCTTACAGTACAAGCCATGGTCTGACTTACAGTATGGCTGTGTGTATATTTCCTTTATTAGATTGTGGAGTTTGCTAAAATTAACAGAAGTTAGAGCCGTTTCATTTTTACTGTTGCCTAAAGTACTTGGGCAGTTTTAATAGCTCACCAGTATTCTGGAAAATCACTTACTGTAAAGAAGTTTAAATTTAGTTCTATTTGGGGGAAAGTGTGTATGTGTTTAAAGGAGAAAACGTTTTTCCTTATCAAAGTTTCACATGCTCGTTGTAAAATATTAATATGAAAGAAATGCATAATTTCAAAATTAAAAGTGGCTAGGCATGGTGGCTCACACCTGTAATCCCAGCACTTTGGGAGGCTGAGGCAGGAAGATGGCTTGGGCCCAGGAGTTGAAGAGCTGTCTGGGCAACATAGGGAGACTCTGACTCTGTTTTTAAAAAGAAAAAGAAATGAAAAGTGTCACATAACACTGCTCCTATCACATTGTAACATTGTTAATGGTTGTTTATTCTTTCAGGTTTTTTTCCTTTTCTTTTTTTCTTTTTTTTTTTTTAAACCTCTGTGTAGGACTGTCTTAAACTGTCTCTCATGTTTGCAAATTTTAGTTAGTAAATTATGTTTATTGGGAGTGGAGAAAACTAATCATTTTTTATATACTTACCTTTAAAAATAATTTCTCCAGGACTAGTAATTCCGATTCCTTTTACCTTTTCTTAGGATACAAGGCTGCCACTAGTATGTTTGTGTTCAAAATGTAGACTTCATAATCTTTGCAAAAATTGATCAAAACCTGTGTGCCTGAACAGTTTACCCCAGAATATTTTTGGAATACACACTTTAATTTCTTCTCATTTCTTGATTCTTCTTCTTCTTCTTGAGAGAGAGGATTAAAAATTGCTTTGAGACTCCCAGCAGGCACTCCTCATATTAGCCCAAGGAGAAATATAGATTTGTTCATGGTGGAATCACTCAAACGTTAGGTTGCTAATTATAAAAAGGGGGCTACAGTTTAGGCTGGTAAAGTAAGTGAGAAGAGTCTGTTGTTCCACGTGCTTCTTTAAGCTACCCCAGAGGGCAGAAAGGGTTTCCAAAGAATCCTAAATAGAAAACCCAGCTGTAAGCAGCCAGGCAGCCTAATCAGCTGAAAAAAAAAATCTCCTTTCATTTAGAAGACTTTTGAGAACTGCACTTATAGTGTGTACCATG